CACAATCTAAATTATCTAGAAATTAACATAATTTAGTCCTGAGTTGTTCCGGTCTATATAGATATACAAATTCGGGCACCATATGCTTATTGCAAGAAAAGGGAGGGGTTAAACGGTCTGAACGTTTATCATCCGACACCTTTTTAGGGTATTTACTGTTCAAGTCAAGTACTGAGCCTATTTGGATCAAAGTCGCACTATTATTTTTTCTGTAAGTCGTATTTACGAGTTCTCAAAGTTGTAATAATGATTCATTATTATAATTATGTCATTATTATTTTTGTAATGACGACCTAAAGAAAATCGCAATTAGAACTAGATTTTTGAAATAACGACTTTAAAAAACCTCTTAATACCAACTTTTCGCAATTACGAGTTTTTAAAAATATATTTTTAGCAACGGTTTTGACCCCAATAGGCTTTCGTTAAAGAATTAACGGAAACTCTATCGTACAATGTGGGTATAAGAATGAGTTGAATGGAAAACCAGTCAAGTGACATATTCGAAAGCTCAATAAAATACGATAAGGTGTGTTCTTTAAAAACGTGAGGAGAAATACCCCCCTTCCAAAAAAACAACAAACAAACAAACAAAAAACACTTAAAAACAACAAAAACGGATTGTCTCCACAAAACCAAAACTCATGACCAGGTGGATTCGATCCCACTGAAGAGCCAAGATACTTACTTCACAGACCAGCGAATCAGCGCAACCACGAGGAATGTGACTACTGCACCAACAGTGGAACCAATTATCACAATGAATCCTGTTTTAAAGGAAAGCAAACATACAAACTGTTATATTTATTTATAATAGGTCCACCCTATAGTCGACTCGAATGACATGCGAAAGTTACTGGGACCTAATCTTATCCAGAATACACATTTTGTAGTACAAATAATATCCCTGGAAGCACAGAAAACAGAACGCGTAAATGTGTAATGTGTGAGTGAGTGAGTATGGTTTTACGCCCCTTTAAGCAACATTCCAGCAATATCACGACGGGGACACCAGAAATGGGCTTCACACATTGTACCCATGTTAGAAATCAAACCTGGGTCTTCAGCGTTACGAGCGAAGGCTTCAACCACTAAGATACCAATGAGTAATGAAAATGTCTAGATCTTGTCTTGATAATGTTCTGAACAGGTTTATAAAATTCAAGACCTCAATAAAGTGTTCACAACGTTTTATGGTAATCATGTGGACTTTGCCAAATATTTCGCACTAATGGCCAAAATAAAATCCGATTCAAATCCCTATGTTGACTTGTACCATACGTCGCTTAGGTTTTTTCAGGTAAATAATTGACTCGCCCTTGCATGTGTTTGTGAGTGGTGCCACCAGTGGGGCACGATGCGTTCCTCTTTGCTTATACACCTGGTGTAATTACTATTTGATAGTGATTCACGAACAAATGCTCATGATAAAGTTGGAAACCTACAGTCGATTAGATTTACATTAATTTAGACGATGTTATAGAAATGATTTTGACACTTATATTCTACATGGGCTTATCGTAACACATGGGGTGTTAGGAGATATTATATCGGGATCACCAAAACCGTATCGCTTAAATGGGTACAGTAATGAAAATATACTAGCCACATAAAGAAACTTGCACGGAGAAAATATATTCTCGATTGAAATACAACACAGCAATAACAAAATGATGCAGACGCTGTAGCAGCTGAATGATCGGACCATAAGAAAATGTCAATGGGACCTGAACAACATCTGTTACGATGACGTCAGAAGATCAAAATGGAGTAGGGGGTCAAACGACAAAGTCACAAAGTCAATAACGGGTATGACCACCCTGTGCGTGAATCACAGCAGTGCATCGGCGACGCATGGAGTCCACCAAATTGGTATGGAAGGCCTGGGGAATGGCCTGCCATATCCTCCTCAAATCCTGTGCCAAGTCACGGACGTTATCTGGAGGATTTGGAAAACGACGCAGACGGCGCTCCATTTCATCCCACACATGCTCTATTGGGGAGAGATCTGGAGAATTTGCATGCCATGGCAGTAACATGACATTGTTATGGTGAAGGAAATCCATTGCGACCCTAGACATGTGAAGACGAGCGTTGTCCTGTTGAAATGTCAATCCCGGGCCATGACGTTGCAGGAAAGGAATGACCACAGGCCTCAGAATCTGATCTCTGTAGCCAACACCAGTGAGATTGCCCTGAACAACCACCAAAGGGGTTCGGTGCCGTGCTGTTATCCCACCCCAAATCATCACAGAGCCACCTCCAAAACGATTCCTCTCCACAATACAGTTGCGTGCATAACGTTCTCCCAAACGCCGGTAGACACGTTGGCGCCCGTCACTGTGGGAAATGTTGAACCTAGATTCATCTGTAAAGACAACATTTCTCCACCATATTCGAGGTTGGCGAACATGATTTCGACACCATCTTAGACGGTTGACGCGATGACGGTGTGTCAGGATGGGACGTATGGCAGGGCGTCGTGGTCGAATCCCGTACTGACGTAAACGATTCCCGACAGTGTTGGGATGGATACGGCGCAGTCCAGGAATTGTCTGGGACGTCGTTACTGCCGTTTGGAACCTGTGTCGGAGATGTGTAACTCGAATCCATCTGTCCTGTCTTGGCGTCGTTAATCGGGGACGTCCTGAACGTGGGTGGTCGGCAACGTCATTTGTGTTCTGATAACGCCTCACCAATGCCGATATCGTGTGACGATGGCATTGGAAATGTGTTGCCACCTGTTGTTGCCTCATTCCCGCTCGGATCATTCCAATGGCTTCATGACGCTGTGCAGCTGTCAATCGTGGCATGATTTGCTTGTGAAATGCTTGTGTCTGCGCCTGAGAAGTTTTGAATTTTTGAATGACTACAGATCATGCTTTCCAAAGTGACAGCGAATTTTGAGTTGCACATGTTGTGTACAGCTGCACAGGATGCACGTGCAGTAACACATTGCACGTCCATAGGCCCCCATCAATGACGTCATATCGCATGGCACGTGCATGAGCGTTTGAATGTGTCCAAAAATTGCTGTGTTCAAACCTATATATCATATGTGGACGGTGTGCCCTTATATCTATCTTTCTCCGTGCACAGTTTCTGTATGTGGCTAGTATATTATACCGTCATCGTATCCCATTTGCATAGGACCCGTGATGATCCGGGGAAGGATAGGTCTTCAGCAACCCATACTTGTCGTAAGAGGCGACTAACGGGATCGGGTGGTCAGGCTCGCAGACTTGGTTGAAGCATGTCATCGATCCCAATTACGTGGATCGATGCTCACGATATTAATTTGCGTAGATCGATGCGCATGTCAATCACTGAATTGTCTGGTCCAGACAAGATTATTTACAGACCGTCGTCATATAGCTGGAATATTGCTTAGAAATAAACAAACAAACGAAAACACAAAAGCATGAACGCTCAAATGTAAATGAAGTATTCTTCAGAACATAGTATCTTTCTTATTTGATTCCTGCTGTGTTTAGTATTTGATGCCGAGGTCGGGTTGAGTGAGTATTGTTTTACGCCGCTTTGAGCAATATTCCAGCAATCTCACGACGGGGGACACCAGAAATGGGCTTCACACACTGTACCCATGTCGGGATTCGAACCCGGGTCTTCAGCATGACGAGCGAACGCTTTATCCACTAGGCTACCCGACTGCCATAATTCCTACTCTGACTGCACCCCGAATAGATGGGAAACAGTGTGGTCGCTTCTGGTTTCATTGTTGACTTTAAGGGTAGCTTTGCTGGATACACTGAAAACAGTGTTAGCACCAGATCACCAGCAAGTCACCAGCAGCCTGGATACGGCAAACTACAGCGTTAAAGATCACACTTCACCAAGTCAAAACGTAGAAGTGATCATTATTTGATTTTCCTTCACGAACTTGCTACATGCACCTATGTTACAGGTTTTCCTTAAATATGTTACTTCCAATCACAGATATTACCTGTTTTGTTTGGTCCGTCTACTGGCCGCAACTTCGGGGAGATATGGACGACTGTTGTCGCTCCTTGGTTAATGGCTGGCGTTGTCGCTGGAGCTTCTGAAAACATTAGAATAGCGCCAAGGCAGTGTTGCTCAACAGCTGCATTCCAGAACCAAAGTGCGTGAAGTATTTAAGTGTGACAGTGTTATGTAATCATACAAACCAGTGATTGATATTATTGATTTCAAACCAACCATCAAATCTAATACTCGGTATCTCATGCAAAAGAGGTGGGACACCCAAGTAGGAAGCAATAAACTACACGAATTGAAACCAACAATCGGTCATACCTACCTTGGTTGTCAGTCAAGACATGACGAGGTCGTTTTACGATAGTGTCGTATTGGCCACAGTCGGTTTACACACGAATATCTGCTTAAGACAGATGAGGACGAACCTCCTAAGTGTATCCCTTTTGATGAAAGGTTCACCGTCAAGCATATATTGTTTGACTGTGTGGACTTTGCAATCGCAAGGGATTCACATTATCAAAGTGGAAATCTAAAAGATCTCTTTTCCCGTGTCAGCGGGCATCTCATCATAAATTACTTGAAAGAAATTGGTCTGTATAATAAATTTTAAATATGTATGTGAATAATTAAATGCATGTTTTTAAATTTGGTGTGATGCTATTAGCAACTGACATTATTAAAGGCTCTGTCCATCAATTTTCATCAATTATTTTTAAATATGACATTGCATAAATAACTAAATTGTGTATATATTAGCTTGGTCTCGTCGCTATATGGCTGAAATAATGCCGATGCGACGTTAAATTTTTAACTCACTCACTCACTCACGCACTCACTATTATGAACAACTTCAGGGTAATCAACAAAGTCACCGAACCTTACCCCGTGAAGATTCGGGGGTAGAATAGGTCTTCAGCAACCCATGGTTGCCGTAAAAGGTGACTATGCTTGTCGTAAAAGGCGACTAACGGGATCGGGTGGCCAGGCTCGCTGACTTGGTTGATACATGTCATCGATCCCAATTGCGTGGATCGATGCTCATGATATTAATCACTGGATTGTCTGGTCCAGACTCGATTATTTACAGACCGCCGTCATATAGCTGGAATATTGCTGAGTGCGGCGTTAAACAACAAACTAACCAACTAACGAACCTTACCACCCTATCCATTTAGTCGCGCCTCATAAGCATAGGTGACCCGTGGTGATCTGGGTTGAATGGGTCTTCAGCAACAGCGACCATGCTAGTCGTAAGAGGCGACTCACAGGATCTGGACGTGTTCAAGTTCGGTGACTTGGTTGATGCATCTCATCGTAATCTCATGTCTATTGCAATGAAAATACGGCATCGTATGCCCATTGCGTGGATCGATGCACATTTCAATCACTGGATTGTCCGGTCCAGACTCGATTATTTACAGACCGCGGTCATTGCGGCGTTAAACAACAAAAAAACAACCAACAAACAAACTTGCCCTTTACAATACCAGTACATCCAGATTTTGACCTTAATCAAGATAACTTCTGAAGATCTTACAAGTACCAAATGCCAGGATTGTGCCAGTAAAAGTGCGACAGTAACTGGTTTGGTTTGGTTTGTTGTTTTACGCCGCACTCGGCAATATTCCAGCTATATGACGGCGTTCTGTAAATAATCGAGTCTGGACCAGACAATCTAATGATTTACATCATAACCATCGATCCACGCAATTCGGGTCGATGATATGCATGAACCAGCGAGCCTGACCTCCCGATCCCGTTAGTCGCCTTTTACGACACGCATGCGACAGTAACTGCTATTTGCGATACTGCCATGATAATACCGACCTTTAGTAGACATGATACAACATGAGGGACCTACCAAAATAAATCAACAGTCAGAAGCATAGTTTTTAAAGAATATTCTGAGACACTGCGTGATCATAGCATCAGTTTGTGACGGACATTATTACTTTGAAAATGATGATTCATTCAAGATAAACTGGCAAGAACGTATTGATAATTTAACAAGTTTTGAAAGTGTTTGGTGTTTGTTTTGGAACAAAATGTATCCAACAAAGGGGTTGTGGGTGGTTGACCTACCGTTTCCCTCATGGATCGGTCCGATGCAACGCATTGTCCGGCGACACACCACTGCAAAAACGTAAAGCGAGAGTGAGTATTACGATTAATTCGGTCCCTACTTCAAGATGTATAAGTTGGTTCTCTGAAGGATTTGTTTGGTTGGTTGGTTTGTTGTTTGCCGCACTCGGCAATATTCCAGCTTTATGAAGGCGGTCTGTAAATAATCGAGTCTGGACCAGACAATCCAGTGATTAATATCATGAGGATAGATCCACGCATTTGGGATCAATGACATGCATCAACCAAGTCAGCGAGCCTGACCCACGATCCCGTCCCTTTTACGACAAGCATAGTCGCCAAGGCTACCCGACCGCCCCCCTATGATTACAGTTACAATGTTAAATGTTTAATATGTTTCAATAAAATATTCCAGCTATATGATGGCGGTGTGTAAATAATCGAGTCTGCACCAGACAATCCAGCGACTGACATCCGACCGCCCCCGTACCCCAGAGAAATAAAGTGACTTTACAACTAAGATATACCTTTTTGTTTCCACATGACGTTCCATCAACAGCGTTGAGCAATGATTGTGAGAACAGCTTAGTATCATCATGGCAGTACATTCTGTTGCATATTAAGCTCAATACACTTTCCCCCTGCAACAAATATCATTGGTTGAGAAGAACATGTGGGTTGGCTGGTTGATTTGTTGTTTAACGCAGCACTCAGCAATATTTCAGCTATATGACGACGGTCTGTAAATAATCGAGTCTGGACCCGACAATCCAGTGATTAATATCATGAACATCGATCCGAATGAAATCTGCCCTACGTGGAAGACGCTTCCAGGATGACGAGGACATAAAGGTTGCCACAGGCGCGGTTAATGGGCCAATCTGCGGATTTTTTAATAAAAGTGGTATTAAAGCTTGAAGGACAAATGGAATAAGTGTATTGAGGTGAATGGATATTATATTGAAAAATAAAAGTGCAAAAGATATTCTGCGACTTGGTCTATGTTGAAGTTGCAAAACTTATTGAACGCCCCTCGTATATACCTGTAAGTGAGTCAAAACATATGAGTAAAATGAAAGTTTTGAATTTATTCAATACACATGTGATCACCGCTGTTATGAACGCCAGAGAATAAGCAGCCTCGAGTATCTGCCAAAACGAATTCTACTTGGCGTGAAAGTAAAATTAGAGGTGAAAATTATAATTATGTGAATGGATCACTGAAAAATCAGTGATGACACCTGGGCCTACTTGCACAAAGCGATCTTAGCGCTAAGATGATTGTAACTCCCATACTTTAACATAGGCTTACAATAGTCTTAGCGCTAAGATTACTTTGTGCAATGGGCCCAGGTGTTTGCGAAAACACGTTTTATGATTCTGTATGGTATACAGAAGTGTTTAATTAATTAAGAGTACCTGTGCTCAAGACTAAACAACCCATAGCTTTATTGTGCTTACTGTGAGAAAGTATGACTTTTCCCCAAAGGCCATTTTACATTGAGTGTCTGGGTCATACAGCTGGCCTGGCATCTCCCCGCTGATGTCTGGCACTGACGACGGCTGTAGTTTCTCCAGGAGACACTTTTTAGATTCAGCAGACCTGTGTTTATAATAAATATAAGATGTTTGGTCACTGATGTTGCAAGGTGAGAAACCTGGTTTTGTTTGTTGTTTAACGCCGCACCCGGCAATATTCCAGCTATATAACGGGAGTCTGCAAATAATGGAGTCCGGACCAGACAATCCAGTGATTGATATCATGAGTATCGATCCACGCAATTGGGATCGATGGCATGCATCAACCAAATCAGCGAGCCTGACCATCCGATCCCGTTAGTCGCCTTTTACCGCAAGCATGGGTTGCTGATGACCTATTCTACCTCGGATCTTCACGGGTTATGACATCATGAGCATCGATCCATGCATTTGGGATACGATGACTTGCATCAACCAAGTCAGCAAAACTGACCACCCGATTCTCTTAAGTCTTCTCTGACAAGGTTGGTGAATGAAATAGGTAACAAATACACTAAAAAGGAACTAACTCCATGAAATAGGTAACAAATACACTAAAATGGAACTGACTCCATGAAATAGGTAACAAATACACTAAAATGGAACTGACTCCATGAAATAGGTAACAAATACACTAAAAAGGAACTAACTCCATGAAATAGGTAACAAATACACTAAAATGGAACTGACTCCATGAAATAGGTAACAAATACACTAAAAAGGAACTAACTCCATGAAATAGGTAACAAATACACTAAAAAGGAACTAACTCCATGAAATAGGTAACAAATACACTAAAATGGAACTAACTCCATGAAATAGGTAACAAATACACTAAAATGGAACTGACTCCATGAAATAGGTAACAAATACACTAGAAAGGAACTAACTCCATGAAATAGGTAACAAATACACTAAAAAGGAACTGACTCCATGAAATAGGTAACAAATACACTAAAATGGAACTGACTCCATGAAATAGGTAACAAATACACTAAAATGGAACTGACTCCATGAAATAGGTAACAAATACACTAAAATGGAACTGACTCCATGAAATAGGTAACAAATACACTAAAATGGAACTGACTCCATGAAATAGGTAACAAATACACTAAAATGGAACTGACTCCATGAAATAGGTAACAAATACACTAAAATGGAACTAACTCCATGAAATAGGTAACAAATACACTAAAAAGGAACTGACTCCATGAAATAGGTAACAAATACACTAAAATGGAACTGACTCCATGAAATAGGTAACAAATACACTAAAATGGAACTGACTCCATGAAATAGGTAACAAATACACTAAAATGGAACTGACTCCATGAAATAGGTAACAAATACACTAAAATGGAACTGACTCCATGAAATAGGTAACAAATACACTAAAATGGAACTAACTCCATGAAATAGGTAACAAATACACTAAAAAGGAACTGACTCCATGAAATAGGTAACAAATACACTAAAATGGAACTGACTCCATGAAATAGGTAACAAATACACTAAAATGGAACTGACTCCATGAAATAGGTAACAAATAAACTAAAATGGAACTGACTCCATGAAATAGGTAACAAATACACTAAAATGGAACTGACTCCATGAAATAGGTATCAAATACACTAAAATGGAACTGACTCCATGAAATAGGTAACAAATACACTAAAAAGGAACTACTCCATGAAATAGGTAACAAATACACTAAAATGGAACTGACTCCATGAAATAGGTAACAAATACACTAAAATGGAACTGACTAAAATCACCTAAGGTTGTTTCAGCTGCAAATGTTTGTTTGTTGTTTCACGCCGCACTCAGCAATATTCCAGCTATAATATGACGGCGGTCTGTAACAAAATCGAATCTGGACCAGACAATCCAGTGACTGACATGCGCATCGATCCAAGCAAATAGGATACGACGATATGCATCAACCAAGTCACCAAGCCTGACCACCCGATCCCGTTAGTACCCGCATTTACAACAAGCATGGGTTGCTGACGACCTATTCTACCCCGGATCTTCCTGGTTCAGCTCCAAATGAAATTCCTCGGTATCAAGGGGCGGTCGGGTAACCTAGTGGTCAAAGCGTTCCCTCGTCGCGCTGAAGACCCGGGTTTGATTCCCGACATGGATACAATGTGTGAAGGCCATTTCTGTTGTCCCCCGCCGTGAAATCGCTGAAACATTGCCAAAAGCGGCGTAAAACCATACTCACTCACACCTCGCTATCAAATACTCAACATCCGCAAATCAGAAAACATATCACATGTGTCTCCTAACTAGAACATATGCTGGACATACCCAGTATTTAGAAGATTATCAACATGGTTCTTGAAGTATGTGGCTGAACATGTAGAGAACACAAACTCGTCGTTGTTAAATAGAGGGTGGTGCTCATCATAGCCGCTGTTCATGATGAAGTTGTCACCGTCGAATGTGAAGCAGAAGTTGCCTTCGCCATCATGATGTGCTCCCATACTGAAACATGGTCAGAACAATACTAAAAAACGTCCTTTGTCTGTGGATACCTTCATAAGAAACTTATAAACATTTTCAGTTTAACAACTCCCCTTCAGAATGGGGGAAAAAATGTGCTTTATGCACTAAAACTTAAAAACTGAAAGTTACAAACATGCCATACAAAACAGGCAGTTGTTTCATAAAAGAGGCTGAACATCCTCACGAATGGCCATTCCCATGGACGTGACCTTCAATCCAATGCACGTGACCTTCAATGAAGGTGATCCGGGGTAGAATAGGTCTTCAGTAACCCATGCTTGCCGTAAAAGGCGAATATGCTTGTCGTAAAAGGCGACTAACGGGATCGGGTGGTCAGGCTCGCTGACTTGGTTGATGCATGTCATCGATCTCAATTGAGTGGATCGATGCTCATGATATCAATCACTGGATTGTCTGGTCCAGACTCGATTTTTTACAGAACTCCGTCATATATCTGGAATATTGCTGCGTGCGGCGTTAAACTACAAACCAACCAACCAACCAATCTATCCACTACACCAGGGAGGCGGTCTTTGACCATGATAAACGACTTTATATTACATGTATTCATGGCTTATATTAAATACTATACCCCATGACGTATTAAACAGACTATGTTTCAGTGACAACTAGATCATGTGTGAGGTAAACGCTGCCTTGAATCCCTAGTAGTTCTTTTATTTCATGTGTAAGGAATTACCAAAGTGGCACCGGCCGTTAGGGCTTGGACGGGTAACTCGGGTACCCGGGTCGGGTGGTTAGTGAGTAGGACCCGGGTACCCACAGGACTACCCGGACCCGTGGATAGTCACGTGATATATTGTTTGATGACAAAAATTATCTAGGACTCTATGGTTACACTTCAAGTCACTAATGTTCGCATTTCGTTCTGACTATGCATCCATTCAGTGTATGAATGCACCCATTCCTTCTGACTTTTCATATGGTTGAATAAAGATATAACTAAATTCAACTTCAGTGTATGAGTGACCAGATTGTATACTACTAATAATACATGTACATATATCTAAATACGTTTGGCCAGGGCTATCCTAAAAATGTTCCCATTCGGACATTTTCAGAAAATCTCCTGAGACCTACAGTGGGTACCCGGGTTGGATCGGGTAATAGGGGGTGGGTACCCGGGGAAGTTAATTTGGACTCGTCCCAGCCCTACCGGTCGTAGGCGTTTACAAGCTTGGAACCTCGAAAACTAGAAACCAACACGCACGGGTTTGGAGCTGAAGTCCAACGGTCATAATCTGGGCGAATGTTGAGTTTACCCACAGCGATTGTGCCACAAGCCTTTACACAGTGAAGTCAGGCCTCATCTGAATTAGGACTATGTCCTGTCCAGTAAAGCGATCGTAGCGCTCCAGCTCTTGCAAATCCACACAACTGCTCACAACTACATTTCCTTTTCTGGGTTACTACCCGAGAAGATCCGGAGTAGAATAGGTCTTCAGCAACCCATGCTTGCCGTAAAAGGCGACTAACGGGATCGGGTGGTCAGGCTCGTTGACTTGGTTGAAGCATGTCATCGATCCCAATTGCGTGAGACCCGTGAAGATCCGGGCTAGAATAGGTTTTCAGCAACCCATGCTTGTCGTAAAAGGCGACTAGCGCGATCGGTCGGACAGGTTCGTTGCATAGGAACTCGTTATTGGTCAGTAAATAAAAATATATACCCCCTATATGTAAGTAGAGACTTGCATATAGGGGGTATATATATTTATTTATTGACCAATAACGAGTTCCTGTGGCTCGTTGACTTGGTTGAAGCATGTCATCGATCCCAATTGCGTGAGACCCGTGAAGATCCGGGCAAGAATAGGTTTTCAGCAACCCATGCTTGTCGTAAAAGGCGACTAACGGGATCGGGTGGTCAGGCTCGTTGACTTGGTTGAAGCATGTCATCGATCCCAATTGCGTGAGACCCGTGAAGATCCGGGCTAGAATAGGTTTTCAGCAACCCATGCTTGTCGTAAAAGGCGACTAGCGCGATCGGTCGGACAGGTTCGTTGCATAGGAACTCGTTATTGGTCAGTAAATAAAAATATATACCCCCTATATGTAAGTAGAGACTTGCATATAGGGGGTATATATATTTATTTATTGACCAATAACGAGTTCCTGTGGCTCGTTGACTTGGTTGAAGCATGTCATCGATCCCAATTGCGTGAGACCCGTGAAGATCCGGGCTAGAATAGGTTTTCAGCAACCCATGCTTGTCGTAAAAGGCGACTAACGGGATCGGGTGGCCAGGCTCGCTGACAAACCAACCAACCTTTTCTTGGTGACAGTTCCGGAAGTGTGCCGCGTTGACGGCACGTTGGCGGAAAGAACGCGATTCGTTGACGGAATTCGCAACACAAGTGTCGCACAAATGGCACTTGGCACACCCACACACATACAACCTTTAATGTACAATGTAAGTAGCAACTCACCTGTGCCCCACTTCATGGGCGGCCACCAGCATGTCGTCAATCATACGATCACGATACTCCACGATGGATACACTGCTTGATATGTTCTTACAAATGGAGCCGAATCCGTCCGCCCGTCCTGGAATAAGTGTGAAAAGTTGAAACAACTTTTTTAAACACTTTCGATGTATAGATATTCACTTCAGCCTGGCAAATTGTAACTCTATTTAACGAGCATTAAATCGTTCAGAGTCTTTCCTCTGCTGCAAGCTGACACACCGTGATATAACTGAATTACTGTTGAAAGCGGCGTTAACCCAACACCTTACAGGGGGCACGGGTGGCCCAGTCGTCTAAGGCGCCGCGATTCGCTGTGCAGAGTTGCGTCCCTTGGGCACGCCAGAAACCTAGGATTGTGGGTTCGAATCCCGGTTCGGCCCGATTATGTTTCAAGGTTTGTCAGCACCATACCCGTGCTCCTGGGTTTCACCGAAGTGGTAAACGCCTGAGGCCTGCATCACTTCGGGCTTTCCTCCCACATTAAGCTGACACGCCGCGATATAACTGGAATACTGTTAAAAGCGGCGTTAAACCCAACTCATTCACTCACTCTTACCAAGCAGGGCGCTCCCAATATCAGCACTGTATAGGTTGTTTCTGAAGTAAACAAAAGATAATTTTATCCTGGACATAGGTTGTTGGTTGGTTTGTTGTTTAACGCCGAACTCGTTATCGGCAATCCGCAGTTGTACTGACTACCTATGTCCAGGACCCGTGAAGATTCCGGGGTAGAATAGGTCTTCAGTAACCCTTGCTTGCCGTAAAAGGTGACTATGCTTGCCGTCAAAGGCGACTAACGGGATCGGGTGGTCAGGCTCGCTGACTTGGTTGATGTATGTCATCGATCCAAATTTCGTGGATCGACGATCATGATATCAATCACTGGATTGTCTGGTCCAGATTCGATTATTTACAGACCGCCGTCATATAGCTGGAATATTGCTGCGTGCGGCGTAAAACAACAAGCACGGGTTGCTGGGGACCTATAATTTAGCTCGAACTCCCCACAGTTTATGCCGAGTTTCAGTCACACCACTCCATATTAATTACCCGTGAAGATCCGGGGTAGAATAGGTCTTCAGCAACCCATGCTTGCCATAAAAGGCGACTATGCTTGTCGTAAAAGGCGACTAACGGGATCGGGTGGTCAGGCTCGCTGACTTGGTTGATGCAGGTAATCGATCCCAATTGGGTGGATCGATGCTCATGATATCAATCACTGGATTGTCTGGTCCAGACCCGATTGTTTTACAGACCGCCGTCATATAGCTGTAATATTGCTGAGTGCGGCGTAAAACAACAAACCAACCAACCAACCAACCAAATTAATTAGATGTGGACGGAATGTTAGAAGTGACATGTCATTTATGCAAGCGTAGTCTTCTGATAAAGAAGCTTTAACAATGTACCAGTACCCAGTAAAGGTTAAGACGTGGTCACTCGGGGGAAACCCAGCATCAGACGAGATCCAATTCTGAGCGCTTTCAAGTACCAGTACCCAGTAAAGGTTAAGACGTGGTCACTCGGGGGAAACCCAGCATCAGACGAGATCCAATTCTGAGCGCTTTCAAGTAGACGATTGCCATCGATGCCTTTCTCCAAATATGTGTATTCCTGGTCAAGGATCTGGACCCGGGTGAACCACTCCCCTGGCGTGACGTCCTTGAAAGAAAAATATAAATATTGCAACTATCAAAACAAACACAAGAGAAAACACGGATGTAATATTCATAGCCTCGTGTCGCAAGACTGTAAAAACATGGTTTAATTGTTATGAAACAGATGATGTGATATTCCAGTAGCAGCTGATCCTGGCAATTACGGAATGTGACTCTGTATCCCTGAACAGATTTTTTAAGGAGTGTTATGTCTCTTGTGGCAATATTTGGCCTGCCTCTAGAATGACATTTCGTGTAGAGATGATAGATCACTGGAAGGAGCTTATGCACACTCGATGACCCCTGACGTCACAGGACATTGTTTCCCCGGTGTGACTTGCAACAAAATACTACAAATTACGTCATAGGGTATTGTCACGTGTTTGAAAAGTTTGTACAAGCGCTGTGGAGAATTTTGAATATTTGTTTACTGAATATAGCCTGCGGCGGCGCATTTTATAGCAAGCGCTAGTTTCGAAAGCACTTTTATTGTTTATATATTTTTATTTCGTTTTTCTCGTAATTCAAGTAGCTAAAAGGGTTATAAATGGGAACTAATGTACATATATTATTTTTTCGGTGCATTAATTTTCATTATTATGCACTAGAATGTAGTTTATTAGGGATATTATATTGGCGCTGAACACATCCAAATGTCGCTAGTGTTAGGCTAGGTTACCCCCGAACTCTTTCCTTAAAGCTTAGCCCTTGAATCCCCTTTTCGATCATTAGGGTTAGGTAAGCGTTTAGTGGCTATTAGATTACCCGAATTCTGTCCTTAGCCCTTGGAAATCAACTTCTCGTGATGACGATCTCTGCCGTAGGTCACATGTCTCAAGACAATTAAGCAGCCAGTTTTTTGTGAGAATCCGTCGGACTTGAACCCGTGACCTTCGGATTGTTAGCCTGACAGCTAACCGACTGAGCTACGTCCACACTGTTAAACTTAGTGCAAATTTACCTGGCCATGCTTATGACGTTACGGAACTGAACAAAAAGGGTCGAATAGGTGACGGACACTTAAGAAGGTTAAGGGTAGGCATGGTGTCTCGCGACTTTAGTCTGGACTATTGCAGGGGATACAAAAAGGTGGATCTTCACCCTTCAATAAAAATGAATGTGTATAATAACTATGGCCAATGCTGCACCGCTGTAATACAACATTGAATGTGATATTGACTGATATCGAACGCAGCGAATAGCTGCAAGATTACTGATGCGGCGTTAAGCAAACATTACTCACTCACTCACTCACTCGATATGGTTTTGGCCAGAGACCATTACCAGAGGACCATGGCACGCCTCGGGGAGGAATGTATTTACGTTCCAACCTTGCACTAACTTGTGGCGTTCAAGATTATCGCACTTATATAGATACGTGCGTGTATGTGGGTGTGGCTGCTTGTCCTCGTCCGGAATAACGCCGCTTTCATGGTGCTAGCTCACTGAATACCAATAAGAAACAACAAGTACCATCTTTAACGTCTTTCGGTATGACGCGGCCGGGGATCGAACCTGACCTTCCCCTCTCCCGGCAAACGCACTACCTTCAGACCACAGAGGCGGTTCTAATATGAGACATAGGAGCGAGTGAATTTTGGTTTTATTGGAATGGAACATCTTCCCGAGGCAAGTGAGTTAACTGCCTATAAAAGTCCAGTTTCCACCCTTGCCGAACTAGGCTGGTATTATGGAGTTACAATTTGGCTGGACTAACGAGTCTATGCATAGTCCAATCAAAATGGCGCACTGAAATCGAAATCCGGTTCTTAAAGTGTCATGCAGATTTCGGTCGATGGCAGGATGTGCAAAAATATGTGCACCGCTAACTCGTTGTCAACAGATATTTTCTAAATCTTTTCATGCTTTTAATCAAGGTGCTCACGTGATTTGATGCACTTCGCGGTGTAAGACTCGTTTTATCACAATATTGATCTTGATTATCAATCAGATCGTTTTGACTGGGCGCCACCGTTTTGTTTGAAGCAAATCCAAGTGATACGAGAGGTTGAATCTGATTGGTCAATAGGAGAGGTATAGAAAGGACATAACTCATAATAGCCACTGGTGGCGCTACGATCGAGCCCCGGAATTCCAGCCTAGTTCGGCAAGGGTGGAAACTGGACTTTTATAGTCAGTTAACTCTCTTGCCTCGGGAAGATGGGAATGGAATGGAATGTCCTGACTTTGTCTGAACGTAGTCGTATACCTTCGTAACAGAGTCTTACGGATCGGGATAGGTCCAGAGAGGTCGGCAAGGCTCTCCCGACAGTTTTGTATAACATTCGGGAACTCAGCCGATTTTGTCTAGTCGGATTACTATGTCGTGACAGATTCTGCATACAATGTATCGGATCACAATCGTAAGAATGTCCTGGACGGTGTCCTGCGGATCGGGACGCTGTCGTGATGAACGGGTATGAATTGTTCATTGCCATTTCTTGAGTCCAGATTGTGAGTGAGTGATTTATATATTATATAGTATATTTCCTTGTAAAATGTAACATAAAACATCTTAATAAAATTGTTTTACCTCAATGTAGTACCCAACCAGTCGTATGTGGTACCTTTCTGAGGCTGATTTGAATCGCAAGTTGATCTGTAACAATGACAAGAGAAACGAAATCTTATCATACAATATAAGACGTTTACGTTTAACTCCATTGGGGTAAAAGACATTCATGTGAATGGATCACTGAAAATGTGTAATGGCACATGGGCCCCGTTCAACAAAGCGATCTTAGCACTAAGGTGATCGTAAGTCCCATACCCTAACATAGGTTTACGATCATCGTAGCGCTAAGATCGCTTTGTGGAACGGGGCCCAGGTGTTAGCGAAACGTAATCTTGTGTAGAAAAGCAAAATTATGACAATTGTATCGAATGATTTTGTTGTTGAATGATAAGCGTTAGGATAATTGTCATCATTGCTGGTTGGTTGGTTTGTTGTTTTACGCCGCACACAGCAATATTCCAGTTATATGACGGCGGTCTGTAAATAATCGAGTCCGGACCAGACAATCCAGTGATTGATATCATGGGCATCGATCCACGCAATTGGTTTGGTTTGTTGTTTAACGCCGCACTCAACAATATTCCAGTTATATGACGGCGGTCTGTAAATAATCGAGTCTGGACAAGACAATCCAGTGATTAATATCATGAGCATCGATCCTCGCAATTGGGATCGATGACATACATCAACCAAGTCAGCGAGCCTGACCACCCGATCCCGTAAGTCGCCTTTTACGAAAAGCATAGTCGCCTTTTACGGCCAGCATGGGGTGCTGAAGACCTATTCTACCCCGGAATCTTCACGGGTTCCACACAATTGTGATCGATGACATGCATCAACCAAGTCAGCGAGCCTGACCACCCGATCCCGTTAGTCGCTTTTTACAACAAGCATAGTCAACTTTTACGGCAAGCATGGGATACTGAAGACCTATTCTACCCCGGAATCTTCACAGGTCCCACGCATTTGGGATCGATGACATGCTTCAACCAAGTCAGCGAGACTGACCACCCGATCCCGTTAGTCGCCTTTTACAACAAGCATAGTCACCTTTTACGGGCAAGCATTGGTTGCTGAAGACCTATTCTGCCCTGGATCTTCACGGGTCCGTCATCATTGTAATTAATGTGGATCTTCCCGAAGCAAGGGAGTTAATAACTGATTTCTTGGTTGGTCGTAGCGCCACCGGTACGAGATATTTTCCCAAAATGTCCCTCTTATTGAGAGTTATACTGGTACGATGCACACCTTGATTCCTGTAGATATTAGTTCTTCTATCAGACAGGACAATTCGTGTTGAAATAGCTTCATGAAAACTTTGTTCTTTCACATTGCAACGATTGAAGCACCAACTCTTATGGAAGAGGTTTTGCGTAATGCTTGTATTCTACAATAATGAATAATGTTTGTTTTTTATTTTTGTGTGGTAAACTTTATATTTATTAAGCTCAAAGCGCTAACATTAGTTCCCCTGTCAGTGAATCAGTCCATGTTTTCATTGCCAGTTCCCTATGGGAGTATAGAACCCAAGCTGTCTGTGAGTCGGTTAACAGCCATACTACATATGATCCTACCGGGTACCCATTCACTGCTGGGTGAACAGAGGCACATCTGGAACAAAGTCACTTGCCCAAGTCCTATATTCGCTTTGGGGCAGGACCGTGGCCCTGGAAACTCGCAAGAGTCACATCTGGAACAAAGTCACTAAGTCCTGTGTGCGCTTTGGGGCAGAACCGAGGGCCCTGGAAACTAGCAAGAGTCACATCTGGAACAAAGTCACTAAGTCCTATATGCGCTTTGGGGCAGGATCGAAGGCCTAGAAACTTACAGGGGTCAAGCTGCCAAACGCGGTCACCCATCCAACTTTTATCTGCGGCCGACGTTGCTAAACTGCACCCGATTTGTGACCTGTGCGCTGTGCACAGGACCACGTATGGTAAAGTATTACCATCATAAATGTTCTTACAGAGAACACACTCTCTCAAAAATAATCAAACTTACCGCATTCACAATCAGCGCAAAATGACGGCGAATTTTTTGCTTCGTGTCAATGGCTTGAAGACTGACATGGACTTTGGATCGCTGGAGCCACCTGCAAATGTATATCATCAACTATGAGTGAGTGAGTGAGTTTCACGCCGCTTTTAGCAATATTCCAGCAATATCATGGCGAGCCTGACCATTCGATCCCGTTAGTTGCCTTTTACGACAAGCATAGTCACATTTTACGGCAAGCATAGTCATGGATAACAACTTTTGGTTTATTGCATATAAGCACTCAGGCTTGATAATGGCGTAAGAAGCTACATCAAAACGTCGCTAAATGCCATAAACCGGAAGTTGTATGTTTTCTTAATGAACTTAACTGTTTACCTTTGATATACTGCATGATCTATCAGTGTTATGACGTCAATGTACACAGGCTGAGCCTGGCGTTTCCTGCGATCAGCAGCAGTATCCTCCAGCAAACCCTCATCCTGGAGGTATTCACTTTCATCCTGATCGGAGTCTAACCCTTCACCTGCATTGAACAAAGGTTTGTATTCGAATATCAGGCTCGGTGACTTGGTTGATTGCGTGTCTCGTAATCTTTATTTGTTTGTTTGTTGTTTAACGCCGAGCTCAGCAATATTCCAGCTATATGACGGCGGTCTGGACCAGACAATCCAGTGATTGACATCATGAGCATCGATCCACGCAATTGGAATACGATGACATGCATCGACCAAGTCAGCGAGCCAGACCACCCGATCCCGTTAGGCGCTTTTTACGACAAGCATAGTCGCCTTTTTACGGCAAGCATGGGTTGCTGAAGACCTAATCTACCCCGGATCTTCACGGCTCTGTCTCGTAATCAGTCTTGTTTATATACGTCTTTACTCATTCCATCAACCTATATTTACACTTTTATACGAATATTTACAGGCAACTGTGTTATAGCAGGAATGTTGCTGACTACAGATTGAGATACGAAGAAAGAAAACAATTCAACAGACAGTTATACTTGTGACAGATTTGATTACGATGTTATGATTAAGAAGACACCTACCTCTAAATCCTATTATGTTTATATCCGGTGACACAACAGCTGGTGTTAGTTCATATGCATCTCCAGATTGAGCTCCTCCTGAACTTCGCTTGGATCTAGTCACCGGTTCCACATTATACAGCTTCCCATTGAGCGACAGGAAGCCAGTCTGGCACAGAGATGTTATGTTTCAGTGAGAGATGTTAATCAGTACGGTTTTACGCCTGTAGCAATATTCCACGACGGGGGACTATAGAAATGGACTTTCACAGTGTATCAATGTTTCAAAGAATGCTTGTTTGTTTGTTGTTTAACGCCAAACTCAGCAATATTATATTATTGCTGAGTGCGGAGTTAAACAACAAACCAACCAACCAAGCAATCCTGTGACGAGCGTGGTATCATGTTCGAAAACAATCATGACCTTCAACGTCATGGGAGAACCTGGTGCCCAGGGAATAGAGGAGAACCTCTAAGAAAGTGGATAATATAGAATATGCAAACCATGATCATATTGTGAGACCAGTAGAGACACATAAACCCAATGAAACTGATAAAGAGAGGGAAGTAAAAGGACCACAGTCTGTAGAATACATGTGGGATCAAACGCTAAAAAATTGCAGGGAAGAAATCTGGAAGAAGAAAGAAGAGTGAGAGATGGATTGAGAGGGAATTGAAGAAGTGCTGGAAAGCTACTTTCCTTGAAAGACTTGTTCGTGCTACACCTTATATCAGTTACTTTGGAAATGGGCCATTCTTGAAACCTATTCTGGAAAAAGTGAAGACTCTGGATCAAGATACTGAACTGGATGAAATGGATCGTAAAATCACTCAGTGGATGAAACTAGTGGTCAAAGATATCCTCTCGTGTGGACTTGTCACTGGCTGATAATTTAGAACTGATCAACCAATCTGATGATGAACAAGATAATGTTGATGATGATAATGATGATGACTATGTTGAATAATCTTTAAACTCTTGTACATAATAACACTATTCTGTAATTATGTGACTCTACATATACTCAACAACAAACCAATATTTTAGTGTATTTTTCAAACAAGTAAAGTTTGGTTTTCAATATTGTAGGACATGTTTGGAATCAAGGCACAAAAACGAAAGTGCTACAGAAAAGCATGCATTCCATGCAAAAGTTGACTTTTATGCAAGCCCCATGCATGTCACTACCCAAGAATGGGTATAAAAACATGTTCGTTAACGGGATTCCATACGCATTGTTTAGCATCGTGCTGACAACAACCACTCAGAAAAACAACAAAATTACGCAATTATACAACATTACAAAATGCCACGAATGGAAACTGGATTCGAACAACAAACCTACGAAATCGATTCCAGCAGCAACAGTGACTGCAAGAAGCATCTCTGGCCTTCGACGAATATCTTCACAAACCGTACGTCGTCGCCTCAGATGTGGAGGGATTGTCGCCAGAAGACCCGCAAGACGTCCCATTTCGACAGGAAACCACCGTCAAGCACGTCTACCGTGGTGCAGACAGCGTCTGCGCTGGACGTCCATGCAGTGGGGACGAGTTCTATTCACTGAGTCTCGTTTTCACCTCAGCGATGGACGGATTCGAGTGTACCGACGTCGAGGTGAACGTTACGTCAATCGTTGTGTCATGGAAGAAGATCGGTTCGGGGGCGGCAGCGTTATGGTATGGGGTCGGATTACAGCAAATGGTAGATAGTGGTAGGGGACATCTCAATGGACAGCGCTACTGCGACGAGATCATCGGCCGTGTTGTTCTACCGTTTTTGCGTCGTCGTGGCCCAGGCACTACCTTTCAACATGACAACGCCCGACCTCATATTGCTCGACTTGTTCAGGATTCTCTTCAACAAAATAACGTGAATGTCATCCCCTGGCCGGCTCGCTCCCCTGATCTCTCACCATTCGAGCACATGTGGGATGAGATGGATCGGCGCTTTCGACGTCAACCACGTGTTCCACAGACATTCCAGGAACTTCGAAACATGCTCCAGTAGATATCCCACAGGCCTTTGTGCGACGCCTGGTCCATTCCATGAGACGAAGATGTGTGGATACACACGCTATTGATTTGTAAATTGACATTTTGGCATGTTCATGTTTTTTTATGAAATCCCGCATTTTCTGAAGTCATTATGGCAAATCTAACCATTTGAACACTTACAGGAGTCTTTTATCTGTTGCAAACCGAAATTGTTTCAGATTTGGTAAAAAACATAACTTTGCATTAAATCTTATTCAATGTCACAGTTTATGTAATACACACATGTATACAGAACATACTAGTTGATTCTTCTTTTTATGAGTGGATAGCATGCAGTCTTTCAGTATTTGATACTCCTTGAATTTTATCTGTAGTATGCCAGTTTAAACACAATTTTACGTAAGCGAATCATTCAGTATCGTTACTCTGTTGGTCTTATCACATCACAAAATTATCTGTGAGCAATTGTGTGCTCTCCTTTTGATATTGCAAACAATTTTAGTTGAAGTTCCATAAAATCATCACAAACGCAATGGATCTTTCTTTTAGTTTAGACAGACAGACAGACAGACAGTTTATTCAGTAAGAAGGCCATAGGCCCATAATACAGACAATGTTTGATTGCATGAACTACGCATGCCAAGGAAGTAGTCGATTTAAGTTTCTCTTAGCCGTTGGACTTTATATAGATATAAACATGTGTTATATACAACATCAAAGTTTTCTGATGAAATAATTTCAGTAAAAGATGTTACAGTTTGAAACTTGATATACTGTTTAAGATACATATTTCTTAGGGCTGAATAACGCTCACATACAAGTAAAACATGAAATTCATCTTCAATAAAAGGTATACCATTTTCTATACAATATTTACATAAGCGTTCAGTGTATGGGACATTTGTGTATCTCCCCAAGTCAATTGCAAGTTTAAACTTGCTACATCTGAAACGAGTCATACATATTCTCAGATGTACTGGTATGGGGAGTGTAAGATATTTTTCTACATTCAAGAGGGATTTAAAATGTTTATAATAAAAGGTATCAGATATACTATTGATAGAACTACACCATGATTGTTGAAGGTTATCAAATAATCTTTGCTTAAAAAGATGAATAAATACCTTCACATTGCCAACATCTTGTGTTAACCATACATATCCAAAACCTAATTTAAACAAAATATTCTTAATGTGAGTAGCCCATGTGGTGCGACCAGAATGGTCCAGTGATTTGAGCATTAAATAACATTGGCGAGGCAGTCTGCGCTCGTCCAAACGCAGTAGCCTGCACCAATACTTGATGGCCCTTGTGGTATACACAAGTTGGAGAGGGGCTCTTCCGCACTCTCCTAAAACCATTGCATTGTTTGTTGTTTTACCTGTATTTAGAAACCATTTACACATTTTGTTCTGTACATCTTCAATAATTTTACAATATGAGATGCCCCATATTTCTGCGCCGTAACAGACAATAGGCACAATCATAGCATCAAATATCTTAAATAAATCTTGACAGGGTATATTACCAACTTTCTTTTGATATCTATATAATGTCATAATGGCCTTGTTACTCTGTGCAGCAAGAGTATTTAGTGCCTTAGTCCAAACAAGTTTGGGCGTGAACACAATACCCAAATATCTATAAAACGACACGGTTTCAATATATACACTATTAAATTTCCATTTTTCATAATGTCTAAGGGGTCCACCATTTCTGAATACCATAACTTTGGTTTTCTTCAAGTTTACCTTCATGCCTGTGGTATTGCAAAAATGTTCCAAGGCATTGATCTTCTTTTGTAAATTTAAAGGTGTATCAGCAATAGATGACACGTCATCAGCAAACATAAGTGCATATATTGCTGGGCAGTCTTTAGTAATAAAGACAGTTTGTCCTCCATAATTTTCCATAAAATTTACAAGTTTATTTATGAATATTAAAAACATCTGAGGGCTGAGGATGCATCCTTGACGGGTACCTATATTACACTTAAAGTATTTGGATAACCCAGTAGGTGTTCTAACACAGGCACACAGTTTATTGTACATTGATGTAATAATAGACAGAAACTTTCCGCAGACACCAATATCAGCCAAACTCTGTAACAACATATTGTGATCAACATTATCAAAAGCTTTTGAGAAATCTACAAATAAGCAGTAGAACCTTCCTTTCTTTTTACATGCATACTTTTGGATAATGGCCTGTAGTGAAAATATATGATCTGTCGTGGAATAGTTGGGTCTAAATCCAGCTTGAGATTCGTCAATGATATTGTTATCATCACACCACCTCTGTAGTCTAGCATTAAGAATAGATGTAAATACTTTGCATATGGTATCAATGAGTGAGATACCTCTATAATTGTTGGCATCATTCATATCACCAGACTTGAACAGAGGACAGATGATACTTTTCCCCCACACATCTGGAAAGTTACCACTCTCAAAGATTTTGTTAAATGTAATAACTAAAATTGGTGTAATTTGTTTCTCTGAAGACTTTAAAAATTCAGCAGCAATACCATCAGGCCCAGGGGATTTATTATTCCCAAGCTGTTTTATTTGACTTGATATTTCTTCTGCTAGAATAGGAATGTTAATTGTTAGATCATTATTGTCAGGGATATGGTACATACTGCTATCAAGTGCAAGATCCTGCCTAAAAAGAAGAGACATAAAATGGTTAGTCCATTGCTCAGTATTAATTGATTGAGTGACTGCATTAAATGGTTTACTATCCTTGAGCAGTTTCCAGAACAACTTTGGGTTGTCTCTTGCAGCTATCAGTTTTTCTCTCTGTGCTTCAAGAAATGAGTTTTTCTTTCTACTAAAAGCATTTTTAAACATTGATCTTAAGTGTCTAAAAAGTGAAAAATCTTCCCCATGATCTCTGTGAGCTCTCAGGGCTTTGTATTTGTCATGTTTAATTAATTCAAGTTCATCATCCCACCAGGGAGGCTGCTGATTTCTCCTGAAGTTATAATTTAAACCATATACTTTTTTGGTGTGTTCTGCAGCTTCTTGATAATAACTGACTAAACAAGATACTGCTGTATTACAATTATTATTAGCTAGTTGTAAGATATAATCATAATGCTCTACTAATATACCCTCAAGCTTGTGCAAGAAGGTTTCTTTAGCACCTTCATTCCACACATATTTCTCCCAACTGCCTCCACCTTCCTTTTCCAGATTACAGTTGGAGTTACTCCTTGTATTACCTGGGGCTGGGGGTTGACTATATTTACCAGATGAGGTACCCTGAATATTGAGTGAGCAATATAAGGGGAAGTGATTGGAGTGATCCTGTGTACCAACCCCAAAGTTAGAGAAATATGGAAAGAGAGAAGAGGAGGCAATCATGTAATCCACAGCACTTGATCCATTATGAGTGAAACATGTGAATTCACCATTTGTATCATTAAACAATCTCCCATTCAATGTGTGAATACCAAAGGTCCTACACAATTCAACAAGTCTTTTGCCAAAATTATTATGTGTCACTGAGTCTCTGTTTTTTCTTGGCATATCAAATGTATCAGAGGGATAATCATCAACATCTCTCTGAATAAAGTCAATATTGTCATCCGGGATATAGTCAAGGAAGTCCTTTGTCCTTGCATTAAGATCACCAGCAAGAAATATATGCTTGTGTGGGTGTTCCCCAACAATAATGTTCAAGTAGTTTTCAAGATGAGTAAATCCATCACTATCTATATTCTCATTAACTGGTGAATTTTCGGGTGAGATATAAGTAAATATCAAAACACAGTCAGAGTCCCATGATAAACTTGATGTTTTGAATAAAAGTACAACAGTATTTTCAAAATTATCATAAAGCCTACATAACAGTCCACTATCTAGCCAATGAGAGCGTATCAAAACAGTGATACCACCACTATATCGCCCGAACGTGTGTGTCTTGGGACGGACACAGTTTAGCGCACGAAAACCGGACAAGAAGTCCGAGAATTCATCGGACCGTCTCACAAATGACTCACAAAACGCGATCAAGTCAAAATGTTCACAAAGACTTTTTACCTGAGATGTCGAGTTTTCATATTTTCGCAGTCCTTCTATATTCCACGAGAGAATATCAAATGTTGGGCCGTGGCCGTCACATCACTTACCAAAATTGTCAACATTGGGAGTTAACTCCCCTGAAGGAGGTGTGTCTCGGTTTGTGTTGCTTCCGGGTCCAAACAAATCACTCCATGAACGATCGCGAAAAGAGGGCCTTGCATCACGATGCGTACCCCCACCTGTAGACACCTTCTTCACACACTTGTCTTGTCGGTCGTACATATATACCTGCCCTTCCACAATAAGCTTGTTAACACGTATCTTAGGTCGTTTCCCGCTGTCTCTGGCTTCTTGAAAGTAGGTAGACAGTGCGCGTCTATCCTCTCGTATTTTCTGTGGGAAATCCTCTGTTACACGTGATCGGTGATTTCTATCTTGTTGTTCCCGTCCTCTCTTGAAAATATCACTCTTGTCTTTTGTCAGTAGGAATTTAGCTATGATAGGAGAATCACTTTTGCCAGGGTTGTGGCGGTGAGCACGAATAATAACAATATCATTTGCCTTCTCCATGTGTAACTCGTCGCGCAGAAACTCTCTCACGTTTGACTCGGACTGATCCCATGTTTCGCCCCTCTCTCCAGATATTCCATGAAATATTAAGTTGTTTCGCCGCTCACGACACTCTTGATCCTCGAGTTTTTCTTCCAAACTAGACAGAGAAAGTCTCAGTTGTGTATTTTCATGTTGAAGCGAGGCTAGCTGCTCGTGGAAATCAGACGCCATTTTTGTGACCTTGTCATCGAGTCTCTCAAATTTATTGTTTATGTCCGTGGTGTTAGATTTAATGTCCATTAAAATCGCCATCAAGTCGCTGTTTTCATTTTCCGTTGCCGATATCTGTAACGATCCTGTTTCAGACACGGACAAAGTTGACTGATTTCGGGTATTGTGTGCGGGGCCGGACTTAGGTGGGCCTGGGTTCGTCTCGACACAACCATCTGCTACAAGTAGCAAACTCAGACAGATCAAAACCCGTAGGCACATCGAGAAACACTTTTTGCTAATTTTGATACCTTTCATGCTTCTTCTCGCTTTGTTTGGTTGTACAAACAGTCCTATTTTAGCTCTATATTGGGAAAGAGAGATCCCCATGGTGGGAGCTAAGAAAAACACGTCCACCCTGTTCAAACTCACGCATGCGAATGTCAGTTTAGTTTAGGAAACGGGTGTCAGGTCTGGCGAGTATTGAGGGTGAGGAAGCTCTTCGAACCCTCATTGTCGCACAGCAGCCTTTGCTGACCTGGGATCACCATGAAGGCTCGTTTACCCTCTCTTACACATAGCTACCCAGTCTCTGTGGCATAGCTAGGGCACTTATCAACAAACACTTGTGACATGCGGTCATGAATTTCTCGGGGAGTACTTTTCTGTAAAGTCAAAAACTTGATGACTGCTCGGTACTCGTGCCTTCCCATTTCTGTGTCCATTTGGACCCTTGTCACGTTCAATCTGCTATCACTAAAATGCAAACGGTCTCAACGAACCACAACTCAAACAGTTCAGTGTACTACATTGACTGGTTAACTTTGTTATGACCCACAGTTGAAAGTTAGTCAGAGTTAGAATGTTTGACCTGCCCTCGTATGATAAGCCATATTCCATAATCGGGCCAAATCTATAATTCCAACCAACGACTGTTTGATCCTGACAGTTTGTTTTTTGTTTTTTTGTTTAACGCCGCACTCGGCAATATTCCAGCTGTATGATGACCACCCGATCCAGTTAGTCGCCTCTTACGACGAGCATTGTCGCCTTTTACGGCAAGCATGTGTTTGTGAAGACTTATTCGACTCTGACAGAGCACAACTTGTCTATATTGAACTAAGATTAAATTGTCATGGCCGGGACTATCTCTATCGATCATAGATCCTGACTGAACTAAAAGTACTCACTATTTGGTATCGACTTGTGCCAGCGGTACCCATAACACGGGATATTTCGACAGACGCCATATTGGACAAATCCTGATATTCTGCAGTCGTCTGGAACAAATAAATTACATGTGACATTTATTTGATTAGTTCCAAAGAGGACTATTACTAGCAAATATTGGTTCAAGATGAAATAACCCCAATCGGTGTACCTGGTAAAAAATACAGGAACCTAGCATCTCCTTGTGGGGATTCCGGGTTCGAGTTGGTCCCAAACAACCTATCTGTGCGAAGCGGCTAAATGGATCGGGTGTTGAGGCTGGTCGGCTTGGTTGATCGTGTGTCATCATACCCCGACGGCGTGGTTGGTAGTTCCCTTGTTCAGTTTTTGTTGTTTAACGCCGCACTAAACAATATTCAAGCTATATGACGGCGGTCTGTAAATAATAGAGTCCTGACGAGACAACCCAGTGATTGACATCATGAGCATCGATCATCGCAATTCGGATACGGTGACATTCATCAACCAAGTCAGCGAGCCTGACCACCCAATCCCGTTAGGTGCCTCTTACGACAAGCATAGTCACCTTTTATGGCAAGCATGGGTTGCTGAAGACCTAATCTATCCCGGATCTTCACGGGTTCAAAGTATCTAAAGCTGACTCTCTAATGCCTTGATACTACTCTTGGGGTACACTTCTTCACAGGATAGTGTAGGGTAAATTCATTCCAAAATTTTCCCTTTTCATTATATATTTAGTTTGTGGGTCATGTTCACTTGAGGTGTACTAGAATATCATTCCTCGGTAGTGGCCATATTGGATTTTTTTTTATGTCCATATCTGAAAATATTTGGTTGGTTGGTTTGTTGTTTCACGCCACACTCAGCAGTGGAGGTGTACTGATTTATACAACCCGTGAAGATCAGGGGTAGAATAGGTCTGCAGCAACCCAAGCGTGCCGTAAAATGTGACCATGCTTGTCGTAAAAGGTGACTAACGGGAACGGGTGGTCAGGCTCGCTCACTTGGTTGATGCATGTCATCGTATCCCAATTGCTTTAATCCATGTTCATGTCTGGTCCAGACTCGATTATTTTCAGACCGCCGTCATATAGTTGGAATATTGCTGAGTGCGGCGTTAAACAACAAACCAACCAACTTATTACTCTTAAACACTTAGATGCTGTAAGATGTAGGAGAGAAAGGCAAGAAAAATGTGTTTATTTCAAGAGGTCATAAACAGATGTCCCTCTGCAGTGAGTTCATGATAAGATCATGGAGACAGGAAGTCACACCGTTCAGTGAATGTATCAACTGAATGAGCACAATGTTGATCTTCACTTCTCTCACACAAAAAGAAAGCTCAAATAGCGTCAGTTTGTCAATACACTTTCTTTGCTTAGGATGAGGTTGTAATGATTTATACATAGCTGAAGCGTAGTAGAATAGCATGAGTGCCCGGCACTGTGTACATTCCCAGCCCCGCACGGTTCAACAGCTTTGAGGAAACTGTGTGCTTTGTGTCTGGTAGGGGAATCTCCCTTCTGGAGCATACTCACCAGTGAATGGGTAACTTTCAGCCAATCGCAACACAGGAATTGAGACCAGGATGGAGCTGAGTGTGTTTTACAATTTTACAGCAATGAGATCCTGTTTAACCACGTTTACCCTTTTCGCGACAACATGGTGTCTTCACTCATTTTCACTGATACATTCACATGATGTTTACCACAAATTTGGAGTTTCCTTCGGCTGAAAATCGTTGGTGCTGACGTTTTAACTTTAGATTCGTAAAACAGCATGCGTAGTGAAAAACTGAGGTATCCTTGTTTGCCAATGTAAAGTAAGTTCAATAAACTCTTGTACCTTATATACATATATAAACTTTATTATACAGAATCTGATCAATTTCGTTCAAGATATTGTGATAATAGGTCTATCTTTTTCAGATGTTTGTTTGTTTTTTAAAGCCGCACTAAGCAATATTACAGCTATATGATGGCGGTCTTTAAATACCGACTAACAGGCGACTAATGTGGTGGTCAGTCTCGCTGACTTGGTTGATACATGTCAACGTATCCCAAATGCGTGGATCGATGCTCATGATGTCAATGACTGGGTTGTCTGATCCAGACTAGATTTTTTTTACATACCGCCGTCATATAGATGGAATATTGCTGAGTGCGGCGTTAAACAACAAACACAATTTACAGACCGTTGTCATATAGATGAAATATTGCAGGGACCCGTGAAGATTCCGGGGTAGAATTGATCTTCTGCAACCCATGCATGCCGTAATAGGTGACTATGCTTGCCGTAATAGGTGACTATGCTTGCCGTAATAGGTGACTAACGGGATCGGGTGGTCAGGCTCGCTGACTTGGTTGATGCATGTAATCGATCCCAATTGCTTGGATCGATGCTCATTATATCAATCACCGGATTGTCTTGTCCAGACTCGATTATTTACAGACCGCCGTCATATAGCTGGAATATTGCTGAGTGCGGCGTTAAACAACAAACCAAACCAAAGCATCGTGCGGCGTTGTACACACAAGTCTAATTCAAGTCTAATGAACCACACAAGTCTAATTCAGAAGATTTCAGTGGGAACGACACCAACCTGATTGTTTCCGTGCATCTCATTGATATCAACTTTTCCCAAAGTAGCATTTTTTTTGCACAAGAACCGCCTTCTTTCAATGGGTTTCCGTTTAAACGTAATTTACTTTATGTTAACTTTTATCTAAATTCATTTGCACAAGTGTACCTGGATGTACAATAATTGCCCTTACCCTGATGTCTGGCACGTCGTCCTTGACAACTTGATCATTTCCATCTTCACCACGACGTGGAACATACACGGGGGCGTTCTCATCTACATCAACGTTCTTCCTCAGGACCAACCTGGTGGTGTTAGTGTCTGTCCTCACTTCCGCTACGAAAACATCTGGAAGACCGACGGACGACGTGGCCTGGGGGTCGAGGAACTCGATGTGAGCCGTTAGTCCTAAAATTGGGACCATAACAATTTGAACAGGGGAATGTTAACTTCAACGCCAGAAAATAATCAGTCGCGATTTTCTGCGGAAAACGATTCCTTAGGGAGTAAAGACAAAATAGTGATTGCAATTATATGAATGGATCACCGAAATTCAGTGGTTACACCAGGTATTCGCAAAAATGGTAACATCTCCTGCTCTTATAGCACCCACCACTCACAATTTTCATTACGAATAGAGTTTGTTGCCTAACTAGGTCTTCAGCAACCCATGCTTGCCGTAAGAGGCGACTAACGGGATCGGGGGGTCAGGCTCGCTGACTTGGTTGATGCATGTCATCGATCCCAATTGCCTGGATCGATGCTAATGATATCAATCACTGGATTGTCTTGTCCAGACTCGATTATTTACAGACCGCCGTCATATAGCTGGGAGTGGCGCAAAACAACCAACCAACACTACAAAGTCTTTCTCTGCAGCAAGTGCCCACAAACGGCCACTTCAATTTTGATAGGAAAACAACAGCTGCATTGTCATCTTTAAAACCGGCGTAATTTGGATCAACGAGGTTTCAATATACATCTACATACCCTCTGATCTGATTGAAGGTATCAAAGTAAAAGTCCCAAGCAAGACCAGTAGTTGAAATTGTAATCCGCCCATGTTGCTGCAAGGCTCATACTGTATTGTGATACAGTTTTCCTAATGCTCTAGTTTCCCCGTTTCGTGTTGCAATCAAAGGATCAAAGTACATGCTGTACACTGCGTTGTAAAGCAGGATTTAATGAATCAGCAAGTTTACGGAAAAAATTCCTTGCTGAAGCTTCTATTGAATAACAAGTTACCTCGGTAACCACTCAAAAGTTGTTTGGAGAGGTCCTACCCTTAAACTGTATAACCTTTCCGCGAGAACATGGGGAACAGGCTCTCATTCATCAACCTATAGCTACATTGGCGGAGACGACTTATCTATACTTAACTGTCGTATGCGTATAACCTTGGGCTTTCCTCCCACATTAAGCTGACATGCTGTGATATAACTGGATTACTGTTCAAAGCGGTGTTGGGAGCACGGGTGGCCCAGTCGTCTGAGGCTCCGTGATTCGCTGTACAGAGTTTCGTACCTTGGGCACGCCAGAAACCTATGATTGTGGGTTCGAATCCCGGTTCGCCCTGATTATGTTTCTAGGTACGCATCACCAAAGTGGTAAACGTCTGAGACCTGCATCAATTTGGGCTTTCCTCCCACATTAAGCTGACACGCCGTGATATAACTGGAATACTGTTAAAAGCGGCGTTAAACCCAACTCAATCACTCACTCAAAACGGTGTTAAACCCAACTCACCAACTTGCTCCGCGAACACCTGGTGTCATCACTGATTTCAGTGATTCATTCATTTCATTGTCACTGCTATTTTGCCTTTTACGCCTAATAGAATCTTTTTCGTCTGGTTATTCTCAGGCGTTGACGTTTTGTATTTTTGTAAAGCTTTCAAAACGTTTTTTTATGGGAGACATGTGAAGCCATTTCCAAGTTTGATGCATCAATAACAAAGAAAATGTCTGATGCAATTCCCTTATTTGACTTGTACTGTGCTTCATGATTTAATGTATTTCCAGGCGAATATAGACTTGCCTTTGCATGTGTTTATGTCGGGTGCTACCGGTGGGGCAGGAGACGCCCATCATTTTGTCACATAAATAGAAGACCAGGCAAATTTATTTTCCCTCTCCATTGCTCTTGATACATGGATCTATGAATAACTAGCAAATTGTTTGTTTCTTTGTATCTTAACTCTGCACTCCTACGGCATCGACGACATCTTCAAAACGTGGGAGAGGGAAAAAATATAGGCTTGGTAACTGCATTGGAAGGAGTATATAATCTAGGCAAAGAGGCATGAGCGTTTTTAACCATGTGAAAGAGCTGGGCTGAAAGATATTGGCTTCGGACATTTCTACACTTCAGGTCTTCAGCAACCCATGCTGGTCTTGGGGCGGTCGGGTTGCCTAGTGGTTAAAGCGTTCGCTCGTCACGCCGGAGACCCGGGTTCGATTCCCGACATGGGTACAATATGTGAAGCCCATTTCTGGTGTCCCCCGCCGTGTTATTGCTGGAATGTTGCTAAAAGCGGCGTAAAACCATACTCACTCACTCACTCACTCACTCACCCTATGCTGGTCGTAAAAGGCGACTATGCATGTCGTAAGACGCTCGCTGACTTGGCTGATGCATGCCATCGTATCCCATTTGCGTAATGCGATGCTCATAATGTCAATCACGTGCATCCAGCCCAGACTCGATTATTTACAGAACGCAGTCTTATAGCTTGACTATGCAGCAAAAGTTTCACTTCAAACTCAAGCGCCGCGAGAGGCGACTCACGGGATCGGGTGATCAGGCTCGCTGACTTCGTTGATGCATGTCATTGTATCCCAAATGCGCATGACTTCAATCACTGGATTGTCCGGTCCAGACCCGTTTATGTACGGACCGCCGTCATATCACTAGAATATTGCTGAGTGCGGCGCTAAGCAAGAAACAAATCAAAACAAAATCTTTCAGACCGAATATAACTTCTTCTTGTATTTCTCTATGTAGAATTTCTGTGAAAGGGGAACTTGAGTACCAATATGCGTTTCATAAATATTGTGTTCTTTTGTTTCTCTGAAATCTGGGATTTCTGTTTTGTAACTTTCATTTCTATAATTCATTTTCTATTATTTCCTGGGCGAAAACTGACTATCGATAAAAGGATGACATTTTGCATACTATTTTACAGAGTATTAGCAAAGTTTCGTTTCGTTTTAACATCAAAATCTTTCTCATCACCGATGTTTCATCTTGCTCAAACTTGTAATTTGATGAACGGTTATTTCTAGCGTCGTGTGATTGTCATCATGATCAGGCGTGTTTGTAAAGTAGGGATCTGGCACGAGATGTCTAAGATTGTATAAATGTCAATGATTACATCAAGCAAATACACTAAATTTTGCATACTTCTCTATAATTTTAAGAAACTGGCACATCAGATGTTTGCATCATATGGTTTTTTTTGTTGATTAATGAGTTGATTAATGATAAGTATGAGCTGATGTAGTTGTATAATGGATGTCTATGACATTCTTGCTGAAAATAAATGACTGCGTTATGATTGCTATTCCGGTTTAGCGACATCGATCACTGAATTGTCAGGTCGAGACCAGATTATCTATTTACAGGTCGGCGTCATACAGCTGAAATAATGTTGAGTGTGGAGTTTAACAACAAATAAACAAACAAACAATCCTAAACATTTTCTCAAATTCTAGATCCGTACCTTAGCTCTGGCTCTGGCCTGTTTTTCAGGCACATGCATACTTGTATGTTTTTTCCCAAACAAAAGACCTTCGAATACAATAGTCTAGCGTGAGTCTGTAAGAGTGTGAAGAGAAGGATTGACTGTGGTGTCACCGAGTGGGTGCCACCAATTATTGCATATTCTCTGACATGTCTAATAGTCAGAGTTTATCAGGTGCTGTTACAACCTTGGAACCTAGAATTTCGGAAATTGCTTTTCCTGTTTGACGTGTTTTGTGGCCCAGTGAGCATTAACTAGAGGTCGCTATATGGCTGAAATAATGCCGGTGCGACGTTACATTCGACTCACCCACTTAGACGTTGAAAAAGTAGAGACATATTATGGATAACAACTTCTTTATTTACTGTAAATAGTATACATATAGTAGGTGGAGGATTAACAATAACAACAATTGCATAAGAGAGAGAGAGAGAGAGAGAGAGAGAGAGAGAGAGAGAGAGAGAGAGAGAGAGAGAGACGGGACTCACACCAGACTGGCCAAGAATGGACGTAACACAGTACAGATAGACGTGTCTCACACCAGACTGGCAAAGAATGGACGTAACACAGTACAGATAGACGGGTCTCACACCAGACTGGCCAAGAATGGACGTAACACAGTACAGATAGACGTGCCTCACACCAGACTGGCCAAGAATGGACGTAACACAGTACAGATAGACGGGTCTCACACCAGACTGGCCAAGAATGGACGTAACACAGTACAGATAGACGTGTCTCACACCAGACTGGCCAAGAATGGACGTAACACAGTACAGATAGACGGGTCTCACACCAGACTGGCCAAGAAAGGACGCAACAGTACAGATAGACGGGTCTCACACCAGACTGGCCCAGAAAGGACGTAACACAGTACAGATAGACGGGTCTCACACCAGACTGGCCAAGAATGGACGTAACACAGTACAGATAGACGGGTCTCACACCAGACTGGCCAAGAATGGACGTAACACAGTACAGATAGACGGGTCTCACACCAGACTGGCCCAGAAAGGACGTAACACAGTACAGATAGACGAGTCTCACACCAGACTGGCCAAGAATGGACGTAACACAGTACAGATAGACGGGTCTCACACAAGACTGGCCAAGAATGGACGTAACACAGTACAGAGAGACGGGTCTCACACCAGACTGGCCAAGAATGGACGTAACACAGTACAGATAGACGGGACTCACACCAGACTGGCCAAGAATGGACGTAACACAGTACAGATAGACGGGACTCACACCAGACTGGCCAAGAATGGACGTAACACAGTACAGATAGACGGGACTCACACCAGACTGGCCAAGAATGGACGTAACACAGTACAGATAGACGTGTCTCACACCAGACTGGCCAAGAATGGACGTAACACAGTACAGATAGACGGGTCTCACACCAGACTGGCCCAGAATGGACGTAACACAGTACAGATAGACGGGTCTCACACCAGACTGGCCAAGAAAGGACGCAACAGTACAGATAGACGGGTCTCACACCAGACTGGCCCAGAAAGGACGTAACACAGTACAGATAGAAGGGTCTCACACCAGACTGGCCAAGAATGGACGTAACACAGTACAGATAGACGGGTCTCACACCAGACTGGCCAAGAATGGATGTAACACAGTACAGATAGACGGGTCTCACACCAGACTG